CCGCCCCCAACCCAAATGACTGGAGGCAGGTCGTGTTTGCAAAGATTCAATAAATTGATTATATTCGATCTTGCCCGGCCCGCGCTTCGAGCAGAACTAAGCAGAACCGATCGGTGCTGTAATTTTCTTGTCGGGCGGTGGTGCGGGTCCGTACCCGTGTGCGGGAAGGGGAAGACCGGGAGGGAAGGGGGGGGGGGGGCAGCCGCAGCATCCCGATGGACCCGCCGAATGGAAACGAGGCAAAAAGAGTTGCTTTACGGTCGCACCGCCCCTTCACGCCGGCAGGCGATGCCTCGCCCTGGCGTCGCCACTCCCCGGAGGGGCATTCGACCTTGCGCTTGCGCGCGACCAGAGCAGCGCGGTCAGACCAAGTCATCCCCATCCCAAGTACAAGAAGTGACGCTCGCGGCCAGGACGCTGCCGCCGGCTACTGCTCGGCCTCGCGTTGACGTTCGGAACCCGATACCCCGGGGCCGCCCCCCCTTCCCCCTCAGCCGTCATACATATTCGCAGTCCCCAGCCCCGCCCATTCTCTCTCTTTCTGGCAAGAAATAATTTATGTGTGGCATGGCTAAATGTTCTGTGTCGGGCGGTGGAGGCGGAGGCCCTGGCGGTACCTCGCGGCTCGCGTAGCTCGCGTAGCGGGCCTGCACGCGTGTGCGGCGATAACCGAGGCGAGAGTGACATAAGGGATTAACCCGGGCAGCTACTCTACGGCAGCGTGTGTAAGCAGACATAGTCGCCTTGGAGGGTTTTCCAACAGTCTGTCTGACGAGGGGGAAAATACTTCACACAACAGTACCTTAAAAAGAAGTTTCGAGCGAGTACTCCGGCGAATAGTCTGTAAGGGAACTTGCATTTTTTTTTTTTTCGCTCGGGTGGTCTTTTTGCCCGTCAATGATATTGCACAGTATACCTCCTTGGTGCCTACTCAAGTACTTCTGCGTATTGAAACTTCTGCTTTCCATTGCAGGATGCCGGACATCGGGCGCCAGTGCTTCCCTCCTGACGGCGCCGTGCCCGCGCCGGGCTCCGGCCCCGCCGCCGCCGCCGCCCAGTCCGCGGGCTCGGGCTTCGGCTTTGGCTTCGGCTACGGCCCCGGGTCGGAGCGGTGGACGTCGCCGCCCAGCCCGCCCGGCTACGGCGACGACCACGACCCCCTGCACCTCCTGGAGCCCGACAGCAAGCCCGGCGGCCGGCGCAGCCTCGTCATGGTGGGCGTCATGACGGCCGACAAGTACCTGCCGACGCGCGCGGCCGCCGTCTGGGACACGTGGGGCAAGGAGCTGCCGGGGGGCATCGCCTTCTTCTCGGCCAGCTACTCGCGGCCGCCGCCCAACCGCCCAGACCTGCCCCTCGTCGCGCTCAAGGGTGAGTGGGTGTAGCACGCAGTCTCGCTGCGATCAGTTGGCCTCACTGACGCCTGTGACCTCTTGACCCCTCTAGGGGTGGACGACTCGTACCCGCCGCAGAAGAAGTCATTCCGCATGATCGAGTACCTGTGGGAGCAATACGGCGACCACTTCGAGTGGTTCCTGCGTGCGGATGACGACGTCTACGTGCGCCCTGACAAGCTCGAGAAGCTTCTCCGTTCGGTCGACAGTTCGAAGGTAATTTTGATTTTAAACTAGTTGGTTCCTCATTCCATCTTCTCTGCAGGGTCCCTGACCTCCGTGCCTTCTCTCTCGCACAGCCCCAGTTCATCGGACAGGCTGGACGCGGCAACCAGGAGGAGTTTGGCCTGCTGTCGCTCGAGTTCGACGAAAACTTCTGCATGGGCGGACCGGGGGTGCTCTTCAGCCGCGAGACGCTGTCCCGCGTCGCCCCGCACGTCAAGCATTGCCTCAAGAACTTGTACACGACGCACGAGGACGTGGAGTTGGGCCGATGCGTGCAGCGCTTCGCCGGCATCCCTTGCACCTGGTCGTACGAGGTGGGTGTCACGTCGTCCTCCAGGTCGCCGCCTCGCGGTGGCGCTGGCAGCAGCGGAGACGCAGCGTACGGACGGCCCCGGCTTCTCCTGTGACATGTGTTGTGTCTGTGGGCTAACTGGGTGGGCCGCTGGGGGGTGGGCTGAGCTACGATGTGTGGGAACTTCGCTTCGGCGGTTTGGATAATCTGACCAACATGAACCGAGCTTCTGCTCCCGTCCTTGCGAGCTAACGATACGTATCGCTTGTTCTGGACCAGGC